GATAGCAAGCATGCACACTTGGATACTCAGTCTGTATGGATGATAGCGAGCATGCACACTTGGATACTCAGGTTTGTGAGTGTGCATCCTTGGGTTAAGTGGCCACAATGAACTCTCAAAATCGTCTGTCACTGTTTGTGCTTTTGGTCAAGTTCCTTGGTAAATAATGAGGCATAATACTAACTACTCTATTTAGGCCCACTCGTGTTATGATTTACAAGTAGATTATACAAATCTGAGTCATTCCCAGTAATAAGAGGTAAGACTTGTCTCTACAGTTAGTTCCCCTCCTAGTCAAGCTGCAAGCTGCGTCATTAGTGGACTCTACTCAGAAGAGTTCTGCTCCTGGTTTTGGAGCCTGGGAAATCTGTCTTACAGAAGTAGTGGGGAAAGACACCTAGTTCTTGTTGCCCTGCTTCTGCTCCTGGGTGCCCACAGCTTTCCTAGGACTCTGGTGGAGTGCCCTGATCCCCATCTAGTGGCCAAGAGGTGTACTACATCTTACTGAAATGATTACCTTTGCACCCCAGCACTTGGGAAGTCAGCCTTCTGCTTGGGAGATTTCCACAGTCCCTTGTGTGGCTCCTGTTGGGTAGTGAATGCTTCATTATTTAAGTCGGCAGTGATGGCCTGGAAAACAATCTTTCAAGCCATCTGCTTCATCTTTCCATGATTCTTCTGAGCAGAGGAGACGGACTGTCCTGAGACAGACAGTAAGCTGCACTGTCCTTGCTGTCTAGCAGCATTAACTTAGAAGACATACTTGTTTGAATTTTGTTGACGAGTTCTTTGCTATATTGTCAAATGATAACACAAGGGGAACTTACTGAACTCTTTATATAACATACATTCATCAATTTGACACTCTGATAAGAGCATGCATTTTTCCTGTAGTTAGAACAACTAAAACAGTAAATTCAGGTATTACTACAACTGGAGTCCCCAAACTCAATAGTTGTTACTTTTAGACTATATTTTCAGAACCATGGGCTATTATAAGCCAAAACTCATCTAGTTATATTTCACAATGCTGCTTCATTTCTTAATTGTATTATATATTTATTCTTCTAAACAACTCTATTAAATCTACATCATTTTCCTCAAAAAATCAAATCATCATGTCTGCAAAGCTGTCAGTGACTATTCTCACGAGAAAAGATTGAACAATTATAGCTTTCAAATGTCATTTTCCGATTACAGCAGGAAAATCAGAAAGCAGAAATCTCCATATGGTACTGCTGGAATCTCTGTGGCATTTGAAGAGTGCTCACTTAACCATAAACTTTAAAATGGATAGAATGTTCTGAATCACAGCACAGGACTAGAACCCACATGCCCCTGCAGTTAGGACTCTGCTCAGGACATGGGAGGCACATGCTCAGTGTTTAGACAGCAGGAGATGTCCAGAAAAAAGTGCAGACAAAAGACACTCTGGGACTATGAATACATGTAGTTTATTGTACATAGATAGGTGCATTTCTGTTGCTGTGATAAAACACTCCAGCCAGGGCAACATATAAAAGAAAGTATTTAATTGGACTTATGATTCCAGAGGATTAGGGTCCATGACGGTGGAGTGGAAGCAGAAACAGCTGAGCACTCAAGTCTCAAACTACAAGCTAGAGACAGAGAGAGCACGGGGTGGCTGGGAGCTTTTGAAACCTCAAATCCCAGCCCCAGTGGCACACTTCCTCCAACAAAGCCACACCTCCTAATCCTCCCCAAACAGTTCCATCAACTGGTGACCAAATATTCACAGGTATGAGCCTCTGGGCCATTTTTCATTCAAACGACAGTGGGTACCTAATGGTTGGGAGATTTGTTTGTTTGTTTCTTTTTTGTCTGCTTTTAGCAAGGAAAAAATAATGTAAGTTTATTTTTTTATCTTATTTTTACTGTTTAAAACAATTTTTAAATTTAAATTTATTTTGATCATATTTTCCCCTCCCCAAGTCCTTCCAGATCTTCTCCCCCTCCCTACCCACTCAACTTCGTTCTTTCTCAAAACAAAAACCCAATGCAACAATAAAACCCTCCAGTCCAAGAAAACAAAACACCATCCAAACAGAAAAAAAAATCACCAAACTGTAAACCAAATAAAAAGCACATGTACAC